AAATATTACTGTAATATACTATAACAATAAAAATTTCCTAAAACTCACTAGATCCTTCGCCGAGTTACTATATATAATACAAAGAACAATCTAGTGATTTCCTAAAGTGACTTTTCATCCTCTTTGAAGTTCATTTACAAGTGTTAAACATGAATGATAGAAAGTCGACAAAGCTCGTAAATCTTAGTCGAGTTATGAAACTACTGCGAACAAATTTGAAGCGTAGTGGTTAAATCCTATTGAGAGATATCCCTATTGATTTTTTACACATTTGATTCATATATACAAGGTGTCTCGTTGGAAAATGGATAGTATAAATAACTGGAAGTAATTTTATGTGAAAAAAATAAGTCGAAAAGAAGGAATTAAATTTTCAATGAAATGAAATTAAAAAATTAGATCAATATAACTATTATTTCAAATTTAATTTTCTTGCAAAGAAGATCTTAAAAAATTTTACTCTTCGATTTTTTGCATGTGGCACAAATATATAATAACAATTTTTTGTTCTTCCTTTTACTATTTATTTTGAAACTCTCTAAGGTGACACAACAATGTGAAATAACACGAAGAACACCATCATCATAATTTCTCACACGATCTTCTTTCTCTGTGCCATTTCATGAATTTATCTCGAATTCGCAAGTCAAACATAATTAGCAGGGTTCATGAATTCCGACCACGTTTAGATCCAACTATATTTGCTCTTGTTCGTTGCGCAAAGATCCTGTTAGAAGCTGTGCCTGGTGTTAAATTGTATGTTTTCTCGCTTCTCTTCTTGATTCGGCGAGTATTTTAATGAATAGAAAGTAGTGTTGGGATAGCTAATAAACTGATAATTGCCACGATAAATGTTAAAACAGCTTTCGATAGGAAACAACCTGGAACAGAAATGAAATATTTAAGAAAGATAGAATAATATAGAGAAAGAATAAATAATAGAAATTAGAGAAAGATGAAGAATAAATAAACAAAAATATTTTTCTGTCAGATTACTATATTATGTTATCTCATCATCACTTTAAAATTAGTTCAAATTTAATTTTAAAATTAATAAGATAAAAAATTCAAGTCCAATCAACAATCAACAATCTTTCAAAACAATTAGCTTAAAGAGTAGCAATAGCAGATCACGATTAACAAGTTTACACGCATATACAATGATTAAACAAACAATTATTGTGTTAGAAAATCGATGCAATTCTTCCGCAACTTTAGATACGATCGTGGCGAGAAACTATCATTACGACTAAGTGGTTTGCAGATCCCCAGAGGGTTGAGCGTGAAACTCTGGAAACATGACACCTTTTCATATCCACGCGTCTATGAAGCGACGCAGTAGCCAGGAGGATAGACGCTTCATCGTCGTTAAAATTCGTAACGCACTTAGAACCGAATCCTCACTGTATTTCTCTCTGTGTAAATTGTACATATGGATAAAGTGAAACACAATTCTTATATTTTCATTATCAACTTCATTGTACAAACATTGTTTCTATTTCAATAAAGTGAAATTGTTGAGGTTTTAGAAATGGCTGGAAATTGTTAATATAGAAACTTATAAATTGGATTACATTTGTCTTGCATCATTTTGAGCAATTTTTTCTTTTACGCATTTAGTTTAGTTTTCGAGTCACTTGCAAAGAAATCACTTTGGTGATATAATTATATATAAATTATTCTTGTACTTAATCCGAATCCTTCATATCTGTTGAATGCAAAAATAAAATACAGATTGTCAAAAAAATGTTTCAGACGGAAGTTGAATTGTCTGTTGAATTACCTAGAATTAAATAAAATGTCAAAATATGATTAATTCCTGGCAATATAGCAAAGTAAAGATAAGTATATCAAAAAGGTAAGTATAAAACATGTAAATTAGTAAATTTATTGAAATTAATTTGTAAAATTATTGCTATTTTTCATATATATTAATTTTTTCTGATAACTTTCATTCAACTATTTTTACAATTTTTACAATTTTTGCAACATTAGCCACTTTATTTTCTCTTTGTTAACAAGATTAAATTAAATTAAATTACAATGAAGGAAATATTCTCTCACTAACTTATAGAAATTGAGTGAAAGCGGAACTTGGGCAAAAATTGCATTAGTTGGAAAGATTTATTGCAATTTTCTGTAATAAGTAATGTACATATATATATATTTTTATATATTTTGTACAAAAAGAAAGACTAACTTAAAATAGTTGAATTTTATAAGTCAATCTCGATCATCGAATGTTTTCAAAAATTTTCCACTATTATTATTCAAACACTTTCTTGTTTATTAAGTAAAATAACGAAGATTTTGCTACATTCTAGTAATATTTTATTCAAACAAAACGCTATCTTTTGTTATTTTAAACTATGCTAATTTACAATGTAAATCATGTTTGTACAACGCAAACAGCTATATAAATTGACAGGTTGTAAGATAGCAATTGATTATCGTTTTATTATATATTATGATCTTTTCACTGATTTTTTATGAGTTATAATAAGATCGAAGATACGATTACCGTCAAACTAATTTATGTTCATCGAAGAACACATTTAAGTCACTGCAACGCCCACGTTATATCCTTCTTATTTTCCACGATGCCAAGTTAGTTATCGATTTTGCATATTCAAGTGTATATTAAGTTATTTCGTCTCACATGTGACAAACAATATCACCGTTCCATTCTTGTATTAATTATTTCTATGTAGAGTTGTGTATTTTCTGTTTTAAAATTTATTTCATAACAATTAAATAACAAGTAATTACAACAAATCTGAGTAAAGTTAAAAGTAAATTGAAAAATAAAAATAAATTCCAAAATTGTATTCGATAAATTATTTCTGAATGATTTATCTTTTTGTAATAGATAAAAAAAATGATGAAATTAGAAAAATTAAAAGTGAGATTAGGAAATGTTTAAATAATTGAAATTCAACGACAATCGAATAATTTAACAATTAATGATTTTACTATTACTTACATTTGTCTTGCAATTTTAGGTTATATTTAGATAATTTTTATTTATTTCTTAAAGAGCTAATATTAAACAATTAAATATATTATTGAGCACTATAGCAAATATCATTATGTTAAATAATTGGATATTTTTCGAATACACTTCGTTGTTATTCTCAATTTAAATCAAAATCTTACAGAAATATCTCGTAAAACACAAAACAAAATCCTCTGTAATTAAGAAATTCACTTCTTCACAAAAATATTCGCAAAAATATATATTCTAATAAAGAATTTTTGTCACAATTTTTTGAATCTTTGTTCCACACTACATTAGCTTTCGTAATTAACTTAATTAAGAAGAAACAGCGGCACGTATCCTGGCGAACGTATTTCCACGGTGTTTCGAAGCATCCTAACCTCTACCAGAACGATAGTTTCGTCGAGTTATCCTTAAAACGTGGAACAATGAGATAAAATTAAATAAGAAAGAAAAGACGAAAAGGGGAAGAAAAAATAAATAGTAACATCCATCGGATTCTTTGTTTCGAAGAATGACTATTGCCGAGTTGTGGAGAATTATTGCGTGCGTGGGTGACGCGTGTCTGACGTCAATTTATCGTCGCGGCGACGATAACGATTATTTTGTCAGACTGCAAATAATAATCATGCCTTTATAATTGTCTTATCGAATTTTATTGGAGGCCAATGTCGGAATTACGGGACAGCAAAATGAAGAATTTTCAATTCTATAATATTGATAATACAAATGTTTCATCTGACTTTTCATCCCAAAGATTTTTCCTTTTGAATTTTTTCATATTTGCCGCCATCGCCATATTAGTTATCCTTTTCACGATTTATACGAAGGAGAAAGAGAAATTTCCCAACTGAAAATTTTTCACCATGAAGATAAATGTTCACTGTTTGGTGAAAATTTTTTATTTCACCAAACAGTGAACATGTAAAAGAACGTCTTGTTTTTTGATTAAATTTAAATATAAAGATATTGAAATATGTTAGAAAATAGAAGTAAAAAATAAAACTTTTCGTAACAAACTTTTTTCGATAGAATGAAACTATTTGATATCTATTTTTTAATAGAGTATGTTCGAAAATATATAATCGTTAGGAATATAGAATGGAAAGTACTATATACAAAAATATTAGATTATTAGAAAAAAAAAACTAGATTATATATAAAAAAAAATACTTAATATTAACATACTAAAATAAAAAAAATAAAAATAAAATAAATAAAAATCGAAAATATAAAGTCTTATTCGTGATTTTTATTCAATAAACCTTCTTTTTTTTCAATAAGATAACAAAAAATAACTGACATCTAGCTTTGAATAAAAAAATTACTAAATCGAATAGTAAAATCTTACTGACATCAATGGTAAGTTTTATCGAATCTTTCACTCTTTCTTTTTATACTATCCGTGGTATTTAAAATGATTCGATTTTTAATTATTACGTACGATAATAACATTTCCTACATCGTGAACTCTGACGTAACCAATAATCGAGATTTACGCATTGTATAATATTTACCGCTTTTAACGAATCTAATTGGATTTTAAAAAAAAGTTTCAGAAAGTTTTTGAAATATGAAAACACGAGAAAATGAAATGCTTTTGTGACTTTTAACCACTTTATTGAAGTAGATAGAGTGAAAATAAGTTTTGTGAATATAATTTAGCTTTGAAATGCTCAAAAGTTTGTCGAATCCTTTGATAAATTTCTGAAATGTTGGAGAAATAGATATTAAAGAAAATAATTGTAAATATTTATATGAAATTTATGATATAAAATTATGATTCAAAAACTTGTAACTTACTTGTCACAAGAAAATTTGGAATGCAATTAATTATTAATTTCCTTATTGATTATATTATTCAAAGTTATATTGTAAAAAAAATAATTTCTAAAATAAATAAATAATTATATATGTAAAATTTCCATTGTTTCATTGAAACATAATATATCTGTTAAATTTAGATTTTAAATAAGATAGGAAAACAATATTAAAACTGAAAAGATAAACGCATTCGCATGAAATGTATTTCTATATTTGCAAAACAAACACAATCATATAAATGCAATGTAAAAAGGAATGGTCGAGAGAGAAAAGATGGTAGTTACAGATAAAATGATAGAAATATCGCGATGCAGATATAACTGTGCCTCGGTTAAAATAATTTCATGTTATATTCTTTGGACGACTTTGTCGTTTTTCCTGACTTCCTGCTTTTCATCCAACTCGTCCAATCTTTCCTTTCCATACACCATAATCCTTATCCTGGCATCCTGACTTCTTTTCACCCCTTGATGTTCGCCCACACGATCTTTTTTCAATATCAACTTTACATTCTTGAACTCGGTTCAAGGTGATATTCTCGCGAATCATTCATTGTCGTTCCTGGACCATTACGTCTAATCCCTGAGAAGCTGGAAATAAGTTTCGATACATTAAATCTATCAAAAAATTGTCATTTAAAGAAAAGAAAGTTTAATTATGATAAAAGAAAAATTATACATTGAATTAAATTAATATTATCTAACCTCACTTTTGTCCTCATGTTAATCGAATTTATATGGCCCCAACTAAGTTTTCAGATTGAGGTTAGTTTCCTATTTATTTTGAATTTTGATTCTTTCAATACCAACTTTTTCCTTACGTTCTTCAATTCAGTTCAAGCTGATATTTTTCAAACGAAGACAGAGTTTCGTGAGGAATTCACTGTTGTCCTATTGGCATATCGCCATTTTGCTTATACGAATGGGAGGTTTCACTTTTGGAGCTGGAAATAAGGTTTTTTAAAAAAATGTCATTTAAAGAAATTTAAAAGTAAAATTATAATAATATAACATTTTTAAATGGTATTTTTAAATAGAAAAAAATTTTGAATATATTACAGTTGGATCAAAGTCAATCGATTAGACCATTCAAATAGTATCTTTTGGAACATTGCTATGTATACTTTTCAAATAATTTCGCGTATGTTGAAGACAGATATGTAAGAAAAGTTGAACTGTACAAAAGACAGATATTCTAATAATTATTTTTTTATTTAGACAAAACAAACAGAAATAATTAAACAGATAAATGTTAGAATTGATTAAATCATTTTATCAATAAATCACTATATGCCTTCCTGAAATCTTAAATAAACTCACAATTCAAAAAGTGACTTTAAGAAAGAAAAAAATATTCATTTTAGTGACTGATAAAATAAAATTAATTAGATCAACGAAAAATACTATACATAATAATAATAATAATAATGCATATTAAAAGAATTGTAACACAAAGAGGGGGGAAAAAAACTGAAATTGAAATTAAAAAATATATAAAAATATAAAAATTACTTCTATGTCATCATAAAATGTCATCTATTCGGACAATTGTTCACGAAATATCCTTTCTTTCTTTTAATAATTTTTCAGATTCCAAATAACTTTTAGAAATCATCTTTTTCCAAAGAGAGCATGGAAATAAATGCTCGCTTTTAACAAAGAGCGGCCGACAGACGTTTTTACATTTGCTAATTAAAAATTCGCCGCACGTGTTTGAGAAAAGAAAATAGAAAAAAAAAAAAAAATAGAACCCGGAAATGGCGGTAGAGGTCGTTGCGGATTTAACGCACGCGATCGTTATGAGCACGGTGTAATCGATGTATGGATAAGAATGTTTCTGGTAATATAATATAATTTACAACTTAAAAATTATTGATAATAAAAATTAATAATTTTATAACATTTTTAAACATTTTTTTTTTTTTCACTTTTCCTACGTTACATTTATTTTTATACGCCATTCTGAATTCTAATTTTACGATTTTATCCTTCTCAATTATTTCGTTTTTTTGTAAATTGATTTTATTTATATGTTATTAAAAAAAAAAATTATTTCTCTTTCGAGAATACACGCATTTTTCGTTGATACGCAATGACGTATTAAAATAGAAATCTAGTAGACCACGATACGCATGCGAATTTAATCTCCAAATGCGGAAGCACAGCGTTGATTGTAAAAATCTCGCAGTGGTTATGGAAACACGGAATCGAAAGAATGGAATCCGGATTTTTCAACAATTGAAAGAAAAACGTGAGGATCGAAACTTTTATAAATAATATTTCGTATAATTTTCACTTCTTTTGCAATTTGTTTGACGTGTAGTGTATTTCCCTTTTCCAATTAAATTACGAAAAGTTGGAGGCGTGTGCAATTAAAAATAACAATATCTCGAGATATTCTAAAATACACGGCATTAAACTATTCTTTTGTCGAAGAGAATACGCATATAAACACTTCAATATAAACAAAGTTCGATATAAACAACGCTTGTCCATGACGTTTAACTCGTTTCTAATTTAAATCTAATGATAAAAGAAAGTGTCAAGAAGACAATTGATAACGTCCAAAAGTATCAAAAGCTGTTTAGCAAAAAGTTATAAATATCGTGCAAATTTTTCCTCAAATCTAAAATTAAAATGTTGCATCGTATAAACGAGCTCTAAATCGTATTCATAATCGAGGAAAAGGTGAAGGAGTAACACGAGTGTAATAATTTTTAAGGAAATGATCTTTGAAAAATTAAACTCGTTTGTTTAAATTAATTTAAAGAAAAAAATTATTAAATTTAGCTTTTCTTTTGTAGATATATATATATATATATTTTTTTTTAAGAATATTTATATTTATAATTTTTGCCAAATCATTATGGCGTTTTGAATAATCATGGTACCAAGAAATTTAGTAAAAAAAAATTTCAAAAGAAGATAGATAGAACCATTGTTTTAACAGCGAGCTTTATTTCAATGGTGAGCATCCCAGTAAAAAAATTTTACTGCTTCCGGGGGAAGAAAATTTTTTTTTTTTTTCCGATCGTAGTCCATGACACACTTTTTCAAAATAAATGCATTAAACGTGATATCGCTGGAATTCTTGGCGAATTGGATCGATATCGATGATAAATGATAATTGAAAATATTGAAAATAGTAGTTGAGAATATTTTTGTTGATTAGGTATATTCGAGAAGCATTTTTTTTTTTATTCAAATTTACAATTATAATTTTTCCAAATCATTCAAAATTAGAAAACTACGATTTTTATCAGATTGCAAAGAATTGAGGATCATATTAATTTAATGGATAAAATTTTGACAGGTTGTAAAAATTGACTTAAAAAAAAAATTTATTTTAATTCGAGGACATAATCGAGGACATAAAAATTTTTAGAAATATTCCAGAATCGTATTGTATTCTTGTCTTCTTAAAAAGAAACTTTTAATAAATTGCATTACCAATTGATGAACAGCAGTGGCACGAATATTAAGATATTTATATTTTAATCATTGCAGAAAATGCCTGCCATTAACAAGAGAGAAGCTGAAAAGGTGCCGGAAGAGCCACAACCGGAGGAGGTCGTTGAATCGACGTTAAAAACATTATTGAGCACCGAAATGGAAATAAAAGAAGGTAAATTCAAGAATTCTTGAAAACTGTTCTTTGCTCTCTCTTTCTCGCGAAAGATTGTCCTCTTTGATTATTATTGTTGGGTTATTGTTTCCGTTTTTTTTTTGCAGCCACAGAGGCAGAGGTGGTGACCGAAAATGCTGGGAAAAATTTTGAAACTCAAATGGAAAATCTCGGCAAAGAAATCGCGGAAGAAATGGGAATACCAACATGGGGACTTGTTGCGATTTTAATAGGTAAAAAAAAAAACAATTGAGGTTTTTGTTATTTTTTTTTTTATGTATCTTGATTGTTGATAAGATAAATGATACATAAAATAAAGCAAATTCTTGTTTTTAGAATAGGATAAGTATCTTTAAAAACATAGATATCATATTTTTTGATATTGCAAAAATTATTAGAAATTTTTTTCTTTAGATATATATATACTGAAAACTTAAAGAAACTATGAAGTACATAAAATTATTTGAACTTTTTAAGAATGGAATAATTTATTACATTATAAAAAATTCACTTAAACAGTATCTTATTAATTTTAAATTTAATATACAATATTGGATATGTTTAATATTTTATGCAAAAAGTTTACGAGGAAGCTAGAGAAAGAACTTTCACAGAGATCTATTGATAATAAAATACTGCATCAATAATATAAAAGTTTTCAGATAACTCACTTTCACATAAGATCAAAAGTAATGATGAATTTCTATGTAGGAATATTTCACAAAGTAATAATAATATCTACACAAGAAGACACAAAACAATCTGAAAACTTTTTCTTTATCTAAAAAAAAAAAAAAACAGTTGATCCTAAAACATTTTACTCTTTCAGATAAACTCGAACATTGCTGAAACATACTCCAAACGAACAACATTAAATTACAAAAATTTCCTTTGTTTCAGTTGTAAATAAGAATATTTTTATTGTTATGACATATCATTTTTAAAAAATTGCATTCATTTATAGAGCACAAGCATCAATAGGAAAATATATACAAAATAAATGAAAAAATAAAAATTGCTTTTGTGCTTGCGAGTTTTGCTTGAATAGATTTGCGCATGATGTCATCAAAAATAAGGTGGAACGAATTTAAAAGATAGAAATCCTTTGCATACTTTTTAATATTGAAAAGAAGATGGCGTCGAATTTTATTTTAGATCTTAAAATCTGAGATGTTACAAACTTCTGATAACTTATTTTCATTAATTAAAGCAATTATACATTTACATTCTAAAATTTTAATAAATAATTTTAATAAAAGTAGGAATGATGAATTAAAAAAATAGATTCAAAGAACAAAAATATTCACAATTTTTGCATCTCAAAAATTTATTTAACACAAATTAATTTCCACTATTAGTTAGTTATCCAATTGTTAACAATTTTTTCGTTCCACCAAACATTCATTAAATCATTTTTTTAATTCTTTCAATTCTTTTCTCCCTTCTTGCTTGAGTAGCTGTAAGCGTAGTAGTTCTCGGAATCTGCTTCTGCTGCATCAGAAGATGTTGTCGCAAAAGACGATCCAAAGATGGAAAGAAAGGATTGAAGGGGGCGGTGGACTTAAAATCTGTTCAACTATTGGGCAGCACGTACAAAGACAAGGTACGTAATCGTGTTCCATGATTTCATGTAGATATTAGACGCACATTCTACACTCGTGGAATCCACTTCGATTTGTTAAGGTCCAGCCGGATATGGAAGAGCTTACTGACAATGCCGAAGAACCAGATGAAGCTGAGAGTAAGCAGAGTGAGGTGAAACTTGGGAAACTTCAATATAAGGTAAAATTTTTTTTTCAATTTCAATCTCAGCACCAATCCTTGACAATCTCATCAATCGTTCTTATAAAATTTCAAATCAATTATCATTTAACAAGTCAAGAAATAAATTGTTCTAATTCTTAATCTTATTTCTTATCAATAATGAAAAAAAGAAATAGTTTCAAGAGATTGTCAACGTTTCAAATATCATGTTAATTATATTTATTAATATACCTATTTATCCCAATTAAATAAATTAACATATCATTGAACGTTTGCAGCTCGAATACGATTTCAACACAAATAGTTTAGCAGTAACGGTGATACAAGCCGAGGAACTGCCAGCTTTGGACATGGGTGGTACTTCCGATCCGTACGTAAAGGTTTATCTGCTACCCGACAAGAAGAAAAAATTCGAAACAAAAGTGCACAGGAAAACGCTTAGCCCAGTCTTCAATGAGACGTTCACGTTCAAGGTTAGCCGAGTTCTTTTTTCAATGGCTTTATTTCGACGATCCAATTCAATGGATCCACTTACATTTTTCAAAGAATGATCGAGGAACATGCTTGTTTTCCAGAGCGTACCTTATGCGGATGCGATGAATAAAACTCTCGTTTTCGCGATCTTCGATTTCGATAGGTTCTCCAAACACGATCAGATCGGTGAAGTCAAGGTTCCACTATGCCAAGTCGATCTGGCTCAGACAATCGAAGAATGGAGAGAACTGCAAAGTGTCGAGGGTGAAGGTGGTCAGGTAAATTTACTTTAATATTTCATAAATTTATTTAGAAAGAAATATGATGTTATTAAAGTAAACGAATACGAACGAAGAAAATTAAATATATGAGTGAACAGTTAATTTGAAGCATCATTCGTAATGCACAAAAACTCGTTTATTTATTTAAAGAAAATGAAGAAAAAAAAGTCTCATCATCGTGCGTGAACGTTTACTAATAAAAATTCGCAATGGTTACGCTTGCAAGTAGATTCGGCTATACGAACACGAACTCAGACGAATTTAGCCGAACATGAACGAATGAGAAAGAAACAGATATATTGCCTCTATTTAAATGAAACTTCATATGTGTAAATTTGAACGATTAATTTTGTTTTTCTAAATGAAATGATATATTTTTTTTTATGTATTGATTAATGCAATTCATAAAAAGAAATTACTAAGCTACTTTTAAAAAGATTTTAATTTTATTTTGTAAAATTTACTATACGAAATATATTTGCGTCTCTCTTGTTCTCTTTTTTTTTCACAAAATATTATTGAACATCAATTATATTTAAAATTGTTATGTTTTAAAACATGAGTCTCGTGGAGATTAACGTTCATGTAAATTAATTACAGGATAATAAATTAGGTGACATTTGCTTCTCACTTCGATACGTGCCTACGGCTGGTAAATTAACTGTGGTCATCTTGGAAGCGAAAAATCTGAAGAAAATGGACGTCGGTGGTTTATCAGATCCTTATGTAAAAATTGCTCTGATGCAAAATGGCAAAAGGTTGAAGAAGAAGAAAACGTCTATTAAAAAATGCACTCTTAATCCGTATTACAACGAATCATTCACGTTTGAGGTACCCTTCGAACAAATACAGGTACGAATCTTTAAAATTTATTTATAACCCTCCATTTATTAAATTGGTGCATATGAAATTGTAGAATTTATAAAAAATTAATTTATAGTCTTGTTAAAAAAATAATTGGATAATTGTAATTTTTTATAAATGCTATGAGTATAATAATTATAATATTTTTCAAATTTTTTTCAAATTTAAATATATTTCCTAAATTTGATTGGTAAGAATTTGTAATAGAATTAAATTTCATATACACCAATCTAATACATATTTGGTTCTCCTCGTTTGACACAGTTCACAAACACAGGTAACAGTACACTTCAACATTTTTCTATTATTCTTATTACATATTAATTAGTCATGTTTTTTTTTCAATTAATTTTTAGACAAAATTCACGACAATAATTTTATTTCTTACTTTTTTTTGTACTTCTATAGTATAAGATACTATTGATAAATATTTAATATTCATTGCAAACGGATGATTTAAATGTAAATTGAAAACACGAATAAATGATCCGTATGTAATGCGGTAATAAAAAACTCTTCATAAGGTATCGACAATATAATACGCACTATTTTCATTCCAGTAAGCAATTTTACTATAAATAGATAAAAAAAACTTCTTCACTTCCATTTTTGAATTAAGAAAAAAGACTAAAAAAGATCTTGTGTTTATTTAAAAAGGGATTAAAACAGCTTTATGAAGGGACCAATATTTCAATGAATTTTTTTTAAAATGTCATACTTTCGGATTGTAAAACGTGTGTTAAAATATTATATTATTTGCTATGTAATATCGCGTAAAATGCTGTCATTTTATTCACATATGAGCTTCAGAATTACGCTTAAACGCTTTGCATGCACTTTGAATCGAAGGTCAGACGTATCTAAAGAAGGAACATCTTTTTTAAACTAAACAATGTAAGTTCATTAAACAAGCTTTGCTTATTATTTGCATATATTACCGTTTAAAAGTTTAAGTTCACTTTTAATATTTGTTTATAAAAGAAAATAAAATGAAAAATAATTTAGTTTTTCGTTCTTTGTCTTTTCTTATTGTATTATCATTAACTTTGCATTCACAATTTTTTTACAATTTTATATAAAATTAAATATAAATAAGAAGAGGATTAATAATAAATAATTGTAAATTGTTAGGTTAGTGAATTTTAAGAGTTTGCATATGATCTCTATTTTTTATATCAATTAATTTATATTTAAATTTTTTTCATGCTTACGAATATTTTATACATTATTTATACATATATTTTATATATTTAATTCAAAATATAATGAAATTTATATATTCTTTATTTATGAAAGAGATGCAAGTATTTTCATTTCAAATAAGTAATTCCAAATTTTTAAACGATAATAAAATTTTTTTTATATTAAAAATTACAAAAAAAAATTTACATTGTAAATATCAGCTATTTTTTATCACATATTTATTCTTTCGTAGACTAGTTTTCTAAAATACTAGTTTCCTACAAACCATAAATTCCCTATAAATTCCCTATACACTTAACACATATTTTTCGATATTCTATTTTTGATAAACTTTTTTGTAAACACGTTACAATCCGGAGGTTATGGCAATAAAAAATATATATATTTCCGTGAAGAAACTGTATGCACTAATGCGTGATTTCACGTTTAGAAAGTGCAATTGGTTGTCACGGTAGTCGATTACGATCGTATCGGCACATCAGAACCCATTGGGAAGGTCGTCTTGGGGTACAACGCGAGTGGAACAGAATTGAGACACTGGTCCGATATGTTGGCATCCCCGAGACGTCCTATCGCTCAATGGCATACGCTTAAAGACCCCGAGGACGGCGACAAGAAGGACTAAGAGATCGTTGAGAAAAGTTCGTTATAAAAAAAAGACAGGTAATGCACACCAAATGGTTCTAAACAAATACGACAAATGTACAGAAGCATTATTACCTAAACTTTTTGTTTCGTTCCGTTCCGTTCCGTTCCCTTTCGCCTCATTCTACAAACTATATATATGAATATACATAATATGTATAGATGTATATGTATATACTATACATAAATATGTATTTTCTAACGTGGACGATATATCATTGAATTTTTTTAAAAATACAGGTTTTTTTTAATGAGAGAAAAGAACAAAGAAAGAAACAAAGGATGTGCAGTAAGAATAAATAATAAAAAAAAAAAACAAGATTAAAATAGACAGAAATGAGATGCAACGATCTCCTCGATGTAATTGATCGAGTTTATTCGAGAAATAATCCTGTACGAGAATAAAAATGAGAGATATAGATGAAGAGAGAAAGAGAGAGAGAGAGAGAGAAAGAGCGAAAGGAAGAGAGAATGTGAGAGAAAGAGTAGAATAGAATGAGAGAAAAATAAGAAAAATAAAGGGAATACTTTAGTAGATATTAATAATCTATTATTAAATTAAACAATAAAATACCACCAAAAACGTTTTAGTATTATATAATAATATGTTCTCATGGAATGTAGCGTCTTGTATATATATTATATATTATCTATCATACCTTTTTCTGTAGATGTAACAATTGAATGAAAACTTCAAGTAAATGCGTCCTCTTCAAGATATTTCGAGATAAAGCATTGAATACTTTTTGCAAAACATGATATTTCGACTTCCATATACGAGTTCCGATCAATAGTTTTCTTTTTCGTTGTTTTAATTAAAAGCATGTTTGATAAAATGTTTATATACTATATTGACACTGTTAATCTTATTAGATATTTATATATGAAACACATAAATGTGTGCTATATATTCTATGTATATAGAATATACGAAAGATATATATATATATATAAACATATAATGTATACGGTATAAATTGTACTTATCTTGAATTGTGTGAATAGGCAATACAATCTTATTTATGAAAAATTACTGATGATATTTTGTATATATAATCGTTTTCGTGCAAAAAACTCATGTTTTCAATTATAGGTTATGATTACATTATAATTGATACATAATGCGAGGTTAAACGTTTTGTTATCGTTAAACTATACTTATAGTTATATTTATTTTAAACGAATCGATTAAACTTTTTTATATCTTTTTTAATATTTAATTGATATTCTATTTTGCTTAAATTACATAAACTAATTACGAAAACTATGATCGAATTATTTTCCTGCAAAAAAAAGACAATGCTTTTGATCGTGATATCTTCGTGCAGTAACAACTTTATACCAACTGCGCTAACTGTATAGGGAATTTAGTCGATCGAAATGAACGAGCAGATTGGCGGAAAATTCAAAATTCTTTTGTGCGAAACAAAAAATTAAACTTCAACAGTTTTATTCGCAGAGATATTGTCACTATAGTTTTTGTTGTAACAGCATCATTCGATTATAATATTTTTACTATAGTATCAATTTATAATTTATTGTTTTTTTATGATTAAAATTATTATAATCGATAGATGCTAATGACAATTTTTTTGCGAATTGAACTAAGAAGAAGTAGTTTCATTGTTTTGATTGTTGAGTTTTTGAAATTAAACCTATGGAATTTTGGATAAAATCAAATGTGCCGGGAAACACATTTTAATTTGATATGCATCTTTGATTTTCCCGCGGTTCTGCCTCTTTATTCTAAGTATACATGTATGCGTGTACGTGAAACTGTAAACATATTGGTATATATTATATATATTTACCACGTGTTATATATGCTAATAATGTTATTGTTTTTCGAAACGTAACGGGCCTACCGAATGTATAATTTATGTTATCGTTTTATTAAATTATTTCTTGGATAATAAACATAAAGAAGAAAAAAATTAACAAAAAAAAAAAAAAAAAAAGAAAAAGAGTAGTGACGAGTCCACGGTGGTTCTCTATATATATTTTGGGAATTATGATAAAAAGAAATAATTCGAAGAGAAAGCATTCTATAATACGTTTCAAACCAAATTTAACGAGATAATTACGAGAACGTCCCAAGATTTATAAAACATTACTATTATCATTAAAAATATATATATATATATATTATATACTATATGTATCCTTTGAGAAAAGATAAAAATCAATTGTTAGAAAACTGACTTTATACAGTATTAACTGAGTTTGACTGCTATAAAAAAAAATTCATATATTTTATTGCATCGTTGACCTTGAAAGCTACGAATTCGACTGAAAAAAGGAAAACGGATTAATAAATATATACGTGTTTTAGAAAAAGAAAACACGTTATTAAAAAAAAAAAAAATTCAGAGAAATAACATGTATTTCGATGAGATAACCGTTTCCAACAGTCTAAATCGATAGCAACCTATATATAGTTTGTGACTTATAGTGAATGAAAAAAAATACCTAAATGTAAACGGGCCTTAACGCTTTTTCCAATTCTCCCTTCTTTCCCATCATCCTCATTATCGAAGATGCATAAAAAAAACTTTGTAAATATCACGTCATGAACATTTCAGTAATTGATAATCATGTATTAAATCCATTCATTCACCATAATAACTAAATATTATTTAATTCTCAATATGATTCGATGTTTGTTTATTTCATGTTCATTCAGCATAGTACATGTATTCTATCATTTCACATGATGACAAAGAGAAAAAAAAAAATATTTGCACGCAATCAAGTTCAAATAATCATGTAATATCACTACTAACAACATAAGTAATAATGTTAACTATATATAAAAAAAAAATATATCGTGAAAAGAATGTCAGGTATACTCGAAGATTTTATAAAAGATTATGATTTTTCATAATCGTTATAAAATTTTATGGCGTTATACCTGATTGAATTCGAACACGAGATGTGTACAAAGAAAAAAATATAAAGATCGATATCGAAGTAAAAATTTCTTCAAAACGAGAAGAAAATCTCTCTCTCATACATTTCCAAAATTTTGAAGTTATTCCAGTGATATACGTTTACTTGCTATATATCAGTTATATTATATAAACTATAGTACGAAAACCCGAACGAATTATCGATTGTTAATGATATTTAACATAAGAAACAAATTGGTGTTGTTTGAAATTTAAGGTAAAAAACATTCGTTAAGATTAAGTATTAATTACATTATATTTCGAGCAACATCAGTTTATTAAACAGAAAAT